TTAACAATTTGCTGATACGAAAGAGTGTGAGAGTATAGACCCCCTGGAAGCTAGAAATACAAGGGAAATCTGCCCCTCTCCTCCAACACACATATTGGTTTTCTCCTCAAACCTCAACAAATGCTCATAATGTATAACGGGTCAGGATTGTGAGCAGAGAAAGCTGCCTATGGCAGTGCAGGCTGCAGAGAGGAACAATGGCCCTATAGAACAAAAGCCACTGGGTTGGGGACGGGTAAGGAGCTGCAAACCCCCCAGGACACAAGTGAGGACCGCTTACAGCTGGAGCGAGGGAGCAAAGGGAACAAAGACACCCTCCTCTCCTTGGGAAGGGGCAGGAAGCTCTCTCCCAATGAGGCTCACCAAGGTTCTTGTCTGAGTTTGTCTGCCATGGGGAAGACAACAGGATCGCTGAGTAGGTACCAGCCCTTGGACACTGGCACAGAGATCCTGCCTGAGGCTGGTCCAGGAAAGCAGAATTCCCCTAACAGGCTATCAAGTGTCCAGTAAGAATCTACTGCAGCGCAAGGAATGAGGGTGGTGAGTCTCCCTCTGAGGCACAGGTTCACAGGGAAAGCCTAAAGCCCGCCCCCCACCATAAACAAAATAACACTAATTGCCAAAAACTGGAAACAACTGATAAATGGATAAACTGTGGCAAATGCCCATAGTGGAATACTACTCAGCACTAAAGAGGAACAAACTATTGATACTTAAACAACATGGCTGGCTCTCAAATGCAGTATGCTAAGTGAAAAAAGCCACACTCAAAGGCTACATACTGTGTAGTTATACTTTTATGACACTCTAGAAAAGGCAAAAATACAGGGATAGAGATCAGTAGTTGCCAAGGTTTGGAGGTAGCGAAGGGGCTGGCTACAAAGGGGAATGAAGGATTTTTGAGGGGTATAGAACAGTTCTGTATCTTGGTTGTGGTAGTTACATATCATGCATTCACAGAAATACACAGAACTAAATGGCCATCCTGCCCAAAGCAATATAAAGATTCGATACAATCCCTATCAAATTACCAACAACATTCTTCAATGAACTGGAACAAACAGTTCAAAAATTCATATGGAAACACCAAAGACCCCAAATAGCCAAAGCAATCCTGAGAAGGAAGAATAAAGTGGGGGGGATCTCACTCCCCAACTTCAAGCTCTACTACAAAGCCATAGTAATCAAGACAATTTGGTACTGGCACAAGAACAGAGCCACAGACCAGTGGAACAGATTAGAGACCCCAGAAATTAACCCAAACATATATGGTCAATTAATATTTGATAAAGGAGCCATGGACATACAATGGCAAAATGACAGTCTCTTCAACAGATGGTGCTGGCAAAACTGGACAGCTACATGTAGGAGAATGAAACTGGACCATTGTCTAACCCCATATACAAAGGTAAACTCAAAATGGATCAAAGACCTGAATGTAAGTCACGAAACCATTAAACTCTTGGAAAAAAACATAGGCAAAAACCTCTTAGACATAAACATGAGTGATCTCTTCTTGAACATATCTCCCCGGGCAAGGAAAACAACAGCAAAAATGAGCAAGTGGGACTACATTAAGCTGAAAAGCTTCTGTACAGCGAAAGACACCATCAATAGAACAAAAAGGAACCCTACAGTATGGGAGAATATATTTGAAAATGACAGATCTGATAAAGGCTTGACGTCCAGAATATATAAAGAGCTCACACGCCTCAACAAACAAAAAACAAATAACCCAATTAAAAAATGGGCAGAGGAACTGAACAGACAGTTCTCCAAAAAAGAAATACAGATGGCCAAGAGACACATGAAAAGATGCTCCACATCGCTAATTATCAGAGAAATGCAAATTAAAACTACAATGAGGTATCACCTCACACCAGTAAGGATAGCCACCATCCAAAAGACAAACAACAACAAATGTTGGCGAGGTTGTGGAGAAAGGGGAACCCTCCTACACTGCTGGTGGGAATGTAAATTAGTTCAACCATTGTGGAAAGCAGTATGGAGGTTCCTCAAAATGCTCAAAATAGAAATACCATATGACCCAGGAATTCCACTTCTAGGAATTTACCCTAAGAATGCAGCAGCTCAGTTTAAAAAGAGAGATGCACCCCTATGTTTATTGCAGCAGTATTTACAACAGCCAAGAAATGGAAGCAACCTAAGTGTCCATCAGTAGATGAATGGATAAAGAAGATGTGGTACATATACACAATGGAATATTATTCAGCCATAAAAAGAAAACAAATCCTACCATTTGCAACATGTATGGAGCTAGAGGGTATTATGCTCAGTGAAATAAACCAGGTGGAGAAAGACAAGTACCAAATGATTTCACTCATATGTGTTGTATAAGAACAAAGAAAAACTGAAGGAACAAAACAGCAGCAGAATCACAGAACCCAAGAATGGATTAACAGTTACCAAAGGGAAAGGGACTGAGGAAGATGGGTGGGAAGGGAGGGATAAGGGCGGGGAAAAAGAAAGGAGGTATTATGATTAGCATGTATAGTGTGGGGGGGCACGGAGAGGACTGTGCAACACAGAGAAGACAAGTAGTGATTCTACAACATCTTACTATGCTGATGGACAGTGACTGTGAAAGGGTATGTGGGGGGGACTTGGTGAAGGGGGGATCCTAGTAAACATAATATTCTTCATATAATTGTAGATTAATGATAACAAAACAAACAAATAAATTCATAGAACTATATGCTAAAACAGGTGACTTTACTGTATGTAACGTAATCTCAAAGACATTTAAAAAATTTTTTAAACAGAATTTCATTAAAATTAAGATAACATAATCTCAAAGACATTTAAAAAATTTTTTAAACAGAATTTCATTAAAATTAAAAAGTTCTGTTCATCAAGACACCATTAAGAGAGCGAAGTGGCAAGTCACACAAAATAAAAACAGAACTTGCGTACAGAAGATGTAAAGAACATACAAGTGAATAAGAAGAAACAGACAAGCCTGTTAACAGAAAAGTAGGCAAAGACTCGAGTGGACATTTCACAAAAGAGGATATCCAAATGGCCAATATGCATACGTAAAGCTGCTTAACATGTTTATTCTAAATGCAAATGAAAACCATAATGAGGTACCACTACTACCATCACCAAATTTGCTAAAATTAAGGATTAGGCTCGGGAATACCGATGTTGGTAAGGATATGGAACAACTGAAACTGGTTGCAAATCTAGGTAAACACTTTAGAAAACTATTTGGCAGTATTTACTAAAGCTAAACACACCAGAGCCTTATGATTCAGCAATTCTGCTCCCAAATAGTTATCCACTAGAAATGAGTGCCTACATCCACTCTAAGACATGTTCAGGAATGTTCAAAGCACCATTATCATAATAGCAAAGACCTGGAATCAATTCAAATTTCCATTAACAGAACATATAAAATAAATTGTGGTATATGAATACAATGAACTACTATGCAGCAATAAAGAACAGTAAGTAATTGCAACATGCAACAAGGATAAATTCACAGATATAATGAGCAAAAGAAGTGCAATGAGTATATATGCTGCATTATTTCATTTACATGAAATTCATGAATAAGCAAAATAATTTATGGTGATGAATTCAGAATAGTGGTTATGAATGGGGCTAGTATATACTGAGAAGAGGCATGAAGGTGCCTTATGAGCTGCAGGAAATATTCTGTATCTTGATTTTGGGGATATTTCCATGGGACAACCAAAACTTTATTCAACAGCACACATGTTCTGCATGCTTTACTGCACGCATTTTTACCTCAGTGCAATACAATAAAAAGCAAGTATCACCTACAGCATGGCTCAAGGGCGAATGATAATGTGTGCAAAGTGAATATAAACAGACTATAAGTATATAAAGACTTGCCATGGCCCCTGACCCTTGTGTGTTTCTTATCAGCCACATAAAGAGAAAAAATATGAATTAGCTCAGTAGCCTGTGGCATATCAGGCTTGATGTAGCTTCTATTTATTCCCTTTAGGTCTGCAATGTCAGAAGGAATCCGTTTTTCTTTAGAAAATGCAGAACAGGCATTTTTCCTCTAATGTTTTAAAGTAGAAACATTTGTTTTCATATGTTCTTAATTGCTACAATACAACAAATATCAGTATTTTTTTCTATCAAGAGAACAAGTTTCTTGTTGCACCATCACCCTCCTACCATGTTATTTGTCAATAAACCAAGATTTGTGCACTCTACTGCATGTATGCTATACCGCAATACCACTTCTTTTCAATGGCCCTGCCAACACTCCTAGGAGGCCATATACACATGGAGCCTCCAATCCTCCACCCATGACCAATCAGAGGGGCACAGCCACTCCCAGCACAGCACCACTCTTGTCATCAATTCTGCCCACTGAGTCAGCTCCTCTGTATTTCCCTGTGTGCATCAGACTCCAGTCCTCAAGCGTCCAACCACGGGGATAACCTACTAACCCTGCGTACACTCCCAGAGGCCACTCACTGGGTCTGCGGAGCAGGAGAACCCATCTCCTCTCCCTCTGGCTTTGCTGCAGGCTCACAGATGGCCCATCACGCTCTCCCCAACACACCTCTTCACAAATGCTCTATCCTCTTCATAACCTGAGTATTTTTGTTTTTCACATCTTTTATGTGAATGAGAGGTCCAAGCATCTTTGAGCCAGCACCAGACATTTACTCCATAATTACATCTGTACTTCATCCAGCTCCTCACCCTGGCATGTGGCAGTTATTCTTGGGGTTGGGTATCTCTCAATCAGAACAGCCACGTTATCCCCCTATTACAGCAACTTCAGGTAGACCCATATGAAATTGGTTGTTGTTGACATTTTTTTTTGACTCAAATAATTACAATTTCACATGATTTGAACTAAACCTCTATTCAAAATAAGCTTGTTTTAGAGAAATTGAATTTTAGGGTGTGTATGAACAAAACGGAAAAGTAGATTCTTAAATAAATACCTGTGCAAATACTGAAACACCCTCCCCAAAACATCTCACCTTGGCTTTTAGAGCAGCACACAACTGCTGCTGCTTTTTCCTGTCTTTAGCCAACATGTCCTCCATTTCATGAGCTGCACAGGCCTCAGCGATTGTCAGCACAGCCTTCTGTATGAAGTCTCTCCTATTCTTATTCCAATTCGATATCAGGATCCTTCGCTGTTCCCTAGCAAAGTGATACTGGTCACAATGTTTCTCATGTTCAACCTAAAGAAAACAGATGATAAACATTTATTATGAAAGTGAGTCTGTGCTTTGTCTAATTGTTATAAAAATAAATCAAATGAATTATAACCAATGATTTTGAAAAATTGGGGACAAGCACCTTAATAGTAAATGCAACAACCAGGACCAGGCACCAGTCCCAGAATTCTGACCCTGCAGCTAATTGGTGACTGAGGACCAGTCATTTTACATTTATAAGTCCTTAGTTTCCCGTATAGGATGGAGTCAGACTAAACAGCCACAAAACAAGTTCTACTTCTACATGACACTGAATCTATAGGCAGAAAGAATTATTTCCTCTATATATAATTTTGAAAATATTCCATCATTAAATCAGTTTTGGTATTTTAATAATTACTTCAAGTGCTTCAGTTAGATACATGCTAATAAACATAAGAAATTGCTACAAAAATCCTAAGAACTCAATTCACACTTGATTACTAAAACATTCAGATGTTAAGATGTCTAAACATGAAATTATTATAGCAATGACATTAGCTTTTCCCATCCCACACTCCTGTGGGACATGACATTCTCACATCAGTACCGATTGTTCCCATTGGCAGTGAAACCCAACTATGGGAGATTTCACAACAGGAACTGAGACAACCTGGTAGCTTGAAAAGCCTCCACAGGTGATTCTGAAGTGCTCCTCACATAAAGGTGTGTCTCCTGAAGTTGAGAGTCACCGACCTAGATAATTTTTTATCTTGCTGGTATAGACCAGTCTTTGAATTTGATATATTATTTAATGCCAAGTGGCATGAGAAAAAAAAGTTAGCAGGCAAGATAAGGCTGGTCCCACCTAAAATAAGAATTTAGGTATGGTTCATTAGGTACATGATGAATTAGGCTATGGCTTCACTTAGACCAAATATCAGCTACTAGAAAAATCTGTTCTATAAACTTAGCTTTGTTACAAAAAGCCAAAATTATACTTAAAGACTGTCAAACATTAAGAAAGGAAGCATATACATGAAGAAATGCATATTAATTCACCAAATATAAGAAGTAAATTAATACAAAAACCAAAGACACTACAAAAAAATTTTAGACCAATATTGCTAATGAACATAAATGTAAAAGTCCTCAACAAAATATTAGCAAACCAAATTAAAAATACACAAAAAGGATCATTCATTGCCACTAAGTGGGATTTATTCCAGGGATGAAAGATGGTACAATATTCATACATCAATCACTGTCATACCCACATGAACAAAAAGAAGGATAAAAACCACACAATCATTTCAATAGGGGCTGAAAATGCATTTGACAAAATTCAATGTCCATTCATGATAAAAACTGTCAGTAAAATGGGCATAGAGGGTACATAACTCAACATAATAAAGGCCATATACAACAAATCCACAGCTAACATCATACTCAATGGTGAAAGCCGAAAACTTTTTCTCTATGATCAGGAACAAGACAAAGGGTGTCCACTCTCACCACTTTATGCAACATAGTAATCAGCCATGGCAATCAGATAAGGTAAAGAGCTAAAAGGCATCCAAATTGGTAAGGAAGAAGTTAAATGTCACTATTTGCAGATGATATATTATTATGTACAGAAAATCCTAAAGACTCCACTAGAAAACTATTAAAACTAGTAACTGGATCCAGCAAAGTTTCAGGATACAAAATTAACACACAGAAATTCATTGCATTCCTATATACTAACAACAAACTAGCAGAAAAAGAAATCAGGAAAACAATTCCATTTACAACTGCATCAAAATGAATGAAATACCTAGGAACAAACCTAACCAAGGAAGTGAAAGACATGAACTCTGAAAACTATGAGACACTGATGAGAGAAATTAAAGACACCAATAAATGGAAATCTATCCCATGCTTGTGGATAAGAGGAATTGTCAAAATGGCCATCCTGCCCAAAGTAATTTATAGATTCAATACAAGCCCAGTCAAAATACCAACAGAATTTCTCAATAAACTAGAGTAAATAATCCTAAAATTCATATGGAACCATAAAAGACCCAAATAGCCAAAATAATCCTGAGAAAGATGAACAAAGCCTGAGGTATTACCTCCCTGACTTTGAGCTATACTGCAAAGCTACAGTAATCAAAACAGTATGGATTGGCACAAGAACAGAACCATAATGAAGGGAACAGAATGGAGAGTTCAGATATAAACCCACACATATATGGTCAATTAATATACGATAAAGGAGCCATGAATATATAATAAAGACAGTTTCTTCAATAACTGGTGCTAGGAAAACTGGACAGCTACCTGCAAGAGAATGAAACTGGAATCCTGTCTAACTCCATACACAAAAGTAAACTTGAAATGGATCAAAGGCCTAAATGTAAAACATGAAACATAAAAGTCTTAGAAAACATAGGCAAAAATCTCTTGAACATGAGCATGAGAATTTCTTTCCTAATGTATCTCCTTAGACAAGGGAAACAAAATAAAAAATGAACAGGTGGGATTAGATCAAACTAAAAACACTGTACAACAAAGGACACCATCAGTAGAAAAAAAGGCAACCTACAGTATGGGGGAATATATTCCAAAATGATTTTTCTGATAAGAGGTTAACATCCAAAATAAAGGACTTACATGAATCAACAGCAAAAAAATAAATAACCCAATTAAAAAATAGGCAGAGGACCCGAACACAAATTTTTCTAAAGAAGAAATACAGAAGACCAACAGGCGCATGAAAAGATGCTCCACATCACTAATCATCAAGGAAATACAAATCAAAACCATAACAAGATATCACCTCATACCAGTTAGAATGGTCACTATCCAAAAGACAAGAAATAACAAGTGTTGGTGAGGATGTAGAGAAAAGGAACCCTCCAAGGTGGGAATGTAAACTGGTGCAGCCACAGTGGAAAGCAGTATGGAGGTTCTTCAAAAAACTAAAAATAGAAATGCCATATGACCCAATAATCCCACTTCTAGGAATTTATCCAAGGAAAACAAAATCCCTGATTCACAAAGATAGATGTACCCCTATGTTTACTGCCATTACTTAACAATAGCCAAGACATGGAAGCAACCTAAGAACCCATCAATAGATGAATGGATTAAGAAGATGTGGTATATATACACAATGGAATATTACTCAGCTATGAAAAAGAAAGAAATCCTGCCATTTGCAAAAACATGAATGGACCTAGAGGGTATTATTTTCAGTGAAATAAGCCAGGAGGAGAAAGACAAATAGCACATGATTTCACTTCTTTGTGGGATATAAAAACAAAATGAACAAAATAGCAGTAGACTCATAGACACCAAGGAGAGACTGGTGGTTAACATGATGGAGGAGTTAATGGGAGGGGAGAGGGTGAGGGAGATAAAAAGTCACAAAAATTCTCAATTATAATTTGTCAGTCATGGGGATTGTAGTACAGCACGAAGAATATAGCCAATGATTCTGTAACATCTTCCTATGTTGACAGGTAGTTACTGCACTAGAGGGAGTGAGGATTTAATAATATGGGTAACTGTTTACCACTGTGTTCTGCATTTGAAACCACATAAGATTATGTAATAACACTGCTTCAATAAAAAAAAGAGTAAACGTAAAAATCTTTATCATGTTAATAGTAGGCAAATACAAAAAATCTACAAAGTAATACATGACAGCTGGTCACAGAAGAAAACAATCAACAGGGAACAAAAAGAAAGAACTAATTTAATAAATTAAGACTTTAAAAATCTAGAGTTATTATTATATGACATATTTTTTACATAACATGCATCTGCTATAAAATACAGATCAGAATTAAAGCAAATAATTGTTGGGGAGGTGGGTGGGAAAGAATAGGAGATAGTTATTCTAGCTGTTGGCCGTGGCTTCCATTTCTCCACTTGTAAAATAAGGATAAAAATAGTGCTTTTCTCCTCCACTGTTATCTGTGTTACAGGAGTTTATACATGACTGACATAAGGTAAATTTTATGCACATGTCAGTATTGTTGTTACTCACTTATCTAACTCAAAGCAATTACAAAATGCAGAGTATGTGATAATATTTTATAGCATGACTCATTTAAAAGTTAAGAGTTTACGCATGTCTGTTTACATACATGTTTAAAGTAAGTTATGAAATTAAGTGGTGGTGGCATGGTGACTTCTGTTTCCTTGTCTTTGTGGTCATGTTGACTGAAGGATGAAAAAATAATTCCCCAGGCCCTTCTCAGGGAAATTTCAGTTATGACTCTGACTTCTGAATTTGGGGCATTTGTGTTTCAGACCCAAAGAGGGAGACCAAGCAGAGCCGTCAGGACGGGGATGGCACAAGTAACCACCAGTCCTCAAGGCGAATGCTGGCTTCCTTGTGACTAGGAGGACTGAGGTGCAGCAGACTCTAAGGATAGAGAAACAGACACTCAGTTCCAGGCAAGGCCCAGAGGTGGCAGAACCCCTGAGCTTGGGCAAGTGAATGTACAGATACCCACAGGTCAGACACAAGCAACCCAGGGAGCCGATGTGGAGATTTGGGGTAAGTAAGCACCTAAGAATAATTCTTGCCAGAGCGCTCCTCCACTTTCTTATGGACCATACAGACTTGAAAAAAATAACAGACTTTCAACCTATAATCCTATCATTTTCTAGAGTGCAGGAAAAAAACAATTTTTAAAAATATATATTTTGTTTAGCAATTATTGACCACTACAACAATTGAATGTGCCAGTATATATAGGACCTCGCACTCACCAATTCATGCCTAGATTTGTGAGGAAAGTATCTTTGCAACATGTCCAAATACAAACTCCTTCTGCCACAGAGATCTCCAGGATACTGATCCAAAACAACCTGGTAAATCCAGTGGTCTTCTTCACTTAACTGGAAGTTTCTGGAAGCAACAAAGATGTCACAACATATTGTTAAACAACCATGGATTTTGAGAGACTTCAAACTGTTCAAGCTATTAGCAAAATAATAATGATTACATAAAAAGAAGTCTGGTTTTTAAAAATAAATTAGACAAATTAAATGTCTGCTATAGAAAATTCTACAATGGGTTCTTTCAATCCTTTATTTGGCCTTGCCATGAGTTGCAGGCATAATTTGAAGAAGTTTGACAGGAGACATAATATTTTTAAAATATTTATTCTAATGAGTTCCAGGCATAATATGAAGAAATTTGACAGTGAGATGTAACATTTTAAAAATATTTATTCTATTTTGCCTATAACAATATTTTTTAAATCATAACCAATGAATAAAAAAATATTGTCAAATAAATTATTAAGCATACAGATTAAAAGGAATTATGTAGATTCAACAAAGTTCCTATTTCTAGACTGGAGGAAAATACAAATGTAGACAGTTAAATGAACAAGTACACAAAGGAAATTAAGGCTTGAGGAAAGCACTTCCTTAAGATTTGACTTTAGAACCAAATCTAAAATTATCTTTTCCTTTGCCCTCTCAACTTCTTGCTTTGTGGGGGTAACAGTAGAGATTGCTAGTGAAAAGATAACCAGTGGCATTAAATTTCAGAACACTAACGAAATCCTTTGTGAACAGTATTCCTTCAAGTCATCTTCCCACTAACATGTCCACCATGCTCCAAAATGCCCTTTTCATTTCAGAACACTCCTCGGAATTGGCTTGGCTTCTGTTCTATATAAAGTTTTAACAAAACCCTATGCAGAGGGAAAAGTTTGCAATATCAATTTGATCTCTAAACTGAATTAATGTATCTATTATTCTGAGTTTATTTGCATATTATTATTCATTTTTAATAAATTGGAATAATCAAATACAGATGCAATCAGAGGGAATATTATTAGCAACAAATATTTCTTTGAGCCAAGATGGAGACTTGCTATTGTTTATTTCTACTATATCAATAGTCTTCTACTTTAAAGTTAATTGTGCAATTCAAACAATTTTTCATGTCTTCTATGCCCTTGAAAGTATTTGACAACTTAAAACAGCATAAAAAAACCCTTTAAATCAGTGATAATAATGGGAATTCCATTGTCCTCATACAAGGTTACCTAGTTCCTGTAAAGCATTTCGTTATTCTGATAAGTAATAAGAGAAAAATTCTTTTTCAAAGAAGATAACCTTTTCTAACAGCTCTATAATGGGAAGAAAAAGAGGGTTGGAGGTGTTCTACTAGGAAGAAGAATACTCTACAGTTCTTCCTTATAACAGAATAATCTAACGCAGAGAAAGAATTTGAGATCAGTTCATTCAGTGAACACACTGAATGTTTCGGTTCTGTCTGAATCAGTTATGCATATATAGGCAGTCAGAGGCTTCTGCAAATAAAGAAGTTAAAATAGGGGTATTAAGCCTAGAGAAAGTCTTGCCTGAGTGTATTTGGCATTTAAAACACTCTCAAGTCTTCATGGACAATATCTCAGGTCCTCTCTCAAGGAATTCATTTTCATTCATGATAACATACATGCATTTTAATAGAAGAGTTAGCCACACAGATTCTTTCATACTACAATGCAAGCATCAAAAAAAAAAAAGAATAGACCTAAACTCCATGTCCTCATTATTGCTTTTAAACCATTTCTATAACCAAAACACCTTGAATATGACTTGAATTTCCACCTTTAATTACAAACAAAGTGTGTTCTGGAGATGTGCTGGGGAAGAGGAAGTGACATAATCCAGGTCGAGTAACGTTTTTTGTTTTTATGTATAGCCACTCATTTATACAACTGATGTTGGTGCCGTGCTAGACATCCTTCATTAGCTAGAATTCCCTTCACCAAGAAGCTCATCATCCACAATGCACCTTCCTTTTCTGGAGAATTGTCTTCTGCCAAATGGCAACTGCCTCATCCAAAAGGCTACACTACCATCACTTTTGATGGCCAACCGTAACTAATGATTGGCTGCCATTGGGGCACAGAAGGCCAGTCTACTTGCCTCAAGATGGGACCCACTCTGGGATACCATTCATGCTCTAGAGTTTCATTATGAGAGCAAACTGCAGCCCCTTTCCACTGAGATCTCCTCCTTGCAGAGTGTCTCTCCTCCTTACCCTGCATCCCTTATTAACATTCTCTTGAAAGCATTGCCCAACAAAGCACCTGTTCTTATCATCTTTGCCTCTGCTTTGCTTCTACAGAACCCGACATAGGCAATATTTCCCATATTTTTCAAAAATAGTTTAAATCCTTTGGTAAGTGGAATACTTCTAAGCTAATTGCTTTGATGATCTCTCATACTGAATGGTGGTGCAAGATTGTGGCTATCCTCAAAGAGAAAGTACAAATAGCAAACATTTACAAAATGCTTTTCAAATAAAAGTACACATTAAGCAGTGCACATTACTGTAAGTAAATACAGCAGCAGGAGAATTTGTGGCATGCAGTGCAATTTACACATTGTGTGAATGTATTAATTAGATGTCATTTTAGTGACATTAAAACCACTTAAACATATGAAATGATAGTTTACCATTAAAACCAGATATTTCAAACCAAGTATGCCTGGAACAATGATCACATCCATTTTGCTCTTCTTATTGATTTTAGAAACCTCACATCTCAACAGCTTTTTCCAGTTACCACAATTACGCAAATTGCAGTATATGTAGAATAAAAATGAAAGAAATGCTTAAAAGAAGTGATATATAAACATTTACAATGTTACTATTTTTAGAGTGTTTATAGAAGTTTCCAGAGCCATAGGCTTAAATCTTAAGGCAAATATTCTCATCAGCAATACTAATGGCACACTCATACATCTCCATGAGGATTTTGTCAGGGAGAAAACCCCTACACACACACACACACACACACACACACACACACACACACACTGAGTCTTCTGGATCATAAAATTCTAGGAGGAATATTCAAACATAATGACCTCTTCACAATAACAAAGTAGCCATTTCCTACTTAGCCTCTAAAATAAAATAACAAATTCTCTAAAAAAAATTTAGTATACCTAAATTCAAATCTGGACATTTATCTTTCCTAATCAAACCTTCAGCTTTTCATTGTACAGAAAAATCTACATAAAACAGCCTAGCGGTATAAAATAATTAAGGCTAGCTTTTTCCTTCCAAAGTTCTTGTTTAATTTGGCTGCTCTGTTGGTGATTTTGATGACAGAACCAACTAAATCACACAGATACTGAAATATATTCCGATCATGTATCTACTTTCAGAATTTGAAAAATGACCATAATTTTTTTTTTTAATTAAAGAAGACTTTTAAGTTATCTTAAAATTTTATGATTTTAAATATGTCTTTAGACAAAAGATCTTTGGCAG